GGGAGGAGGCGGGGCTAGCGCTCCACCCCTGCCCGCGGGGTCCCGCCATGTTCTGCCCGGCGGGGCGTCCCCCCTGTCCCCCTCCGGCAAGGTGTGGGGCCACGGCCTTACCCCTGCTCCTGTTATAACCAGATCTGAATTTTGAGTGGCTAATTACTTTGTATTGATAATTAATTGGTTTTGATGAACAACTAACGTCTTCTATTTAATTATTTCCTGATTCAATTCGTTCACATTATGGTGAGCAATAGACCAAACCTCAGTGGGGCTCGGAGACAGCAGCTGCAGGCCTGGCGAAGACGGCCAAAGCTGCTGCGGGGTGTGAAATTGTACAGAGCGCAGAACGGGGAGGCGGGGAGACGGGTACAAGGGGTGAAATTGTAAATTCTCAGCTCGTTATCTTATGGGATGGAACCGTAGAAACGAAGGAATGTGGCTGTGAAGACTCTCACATCCTCCCCATGCTAATTCGTGTGTCAGAGATTTTGACCAGTAAAATAACCAATAATTATATTAGTATAGGAATATTAATAAAGTTGTTTAATAGGGTGGACCAATCGTCGTAAATGTCAAAATTAATAGCGGGCATAACATGCACGCTTATGTTAAAATATGTTAAAGATCATGACTTTGCAGAAAAAGGGTATAAAAATGTTGAATTTTCGATGTAACTTTGAAGCGCATTAGCTGGAGCAATCCCCCGCGCTTCCCAGCGCTGCCATGAAGAAACGCCGGCTTCCCTGCCACGGTGTAGGTAAGTTGGTCGTGACGGCGACTCTCCGCCAACACTCCTGCCCTTGCCCCTGACGTGCGGCAAACGGACTCCACAACCTGCGAGACTGTAAAGTAGGTGTGTTTATTCAGCGCTGGGCAGCACGGGGGGTAGTCCCACCAAAGTCGTGCGCGCCCCAACAGTCAGATTTATACAGTCAGATGCTACATATCTATAAGGTTTCCCAATACGCCTATACATATGCATAACCTATCCCCGCTTCGTATTAAAATTAGTTCCAAACGGTCATTTCCATAAACTCCCCCTAGCTGCGCTTGCGCAGTGCCTTCTTGTGGTGGTCGTCGAGGGTCGTGGAGATGAACGGTGATGGCTCCTCTTCGCCACCACTGGTAACCCCTTGTTCTTGCGCAGACTCAGTTGCTCCTCAGCTCTTGCCCAAACCTCAGGGTCGGTTTCAGCCAGTCCTTAAGACCGGTTCCTAATTCTGCATCCCCCAGGTTCTTATCAGGAACTGTCCTTGTGTGGAGCCATAAATCTTCGTGGCTCTGTGAGTTTATCAGGAATTGTCTTTTGTAAGGGGCCACAACATTCCTTGCTTCAACTAGTTTGTACGGTAGTCAGCAAAATATTAAGTGCTTATCCATTAGCTTGATTCTTTTGGGGTTACACAGCAGTCTAGCTCATCATTAAGCAATAAGATTTCCACCAAAATTTCCTTAATCCCTTAACCCCTTCCCTCACCCCTGCTCCTGCCCCTGCTGCTGCCCGCGGGGTGTCCTCTCTCCCGGCGGTGCCCCACGGGCTATGGCCACCCCTCTGGAGGGCTCCGCTGGGGGCTGAGGCGGGCAGGCAAGGCTGGTGCTGGGCGCCAGCCCTGAGGCAGGGTGCGGGCGGCCCTGCTGCTGGGGTGCTGGAGGCTTTACACGGGCCCTTGTAGTGCCCGGGTCCCCCGTGGTCTTTTTAAGGGTCTGTGGCGGGGGGGCGAAAGCCAGATCGTGTCCCACACCTTGTCCGAGGCTGCCCCTCCGAGGGGGCGGGCGGCCCTGCTGCTGGGGTGCTGGAGGCTTTACACGTGCCCTTGTAGTGCCCGGGTCCCCCGTGTTCTTTTTAAGGGTCTGTGGCGGGGGGGCGAAAGCCAGATCGTGTCCCACACCTTGTCCGAGGCTGCCCCTCCGAGGGGATTAGCGAAGACTCAGCTCGCTTCCCCAGAGGACCAGGAAAAATGGTATTGTCTAATGAAAAAGGATTCTTGAAAATTGAATGATGCTATGAAATCTCACAGTTTTCCAGAGATGCTCCCCCCCCCCCCCACCCCACCTGATAAACTTTATTAATGCAAAGAGTGTTCCGCTGCAGCGGTGACAATGTTCTGGGTGAGGATCTGTAGGAAGTTGTGTACAGGACTGGCTTCTTGGCACACGTTTTTGTTATTATGTATAACGGTTACTTCATTGTGGTAGAACAGTAAAGGTGCTAATAATTAGTGAAAAAGTTGTATTGTGAGAGAAAAAAATGTGTAAAGGGATAAGGAAAAAAGATAGATTCAGATATTCACATTCTTTTGCAGTGCTGGTTGCAATGGTAAGTAGAAGACCCAATGGCCATTTACTTCTGCTAATTTAAACTGCTTATCTCGATACAGATCACGTTTTCTAGCATGAATGCACAGTGTCCTCATCACAATTGCAAGTGGAGGATGTGATTCTTTAGTGAGATCTGCCTTGACTGAAGTCCTTCCTTAACTTCAGTATTTCTACTATTTTACCTTGTCACAGCAGCGGGAAGCACATGATTTAAGGCATCTCCTAAGACAAATGTAAAATGCATTTATTGTTTAACAAATTTCTTTTTTAAATTTTTTTTTTAAAGGCAAAATAAGACTTTTTTAATTCGGAATTGTATACTGGTTTCAGGCTAATGGTAATTGTCAAACTGTTTCAGATGCTGTCATGCATAAAATATGTAATTTTATTGGGTTCTGGACTGGAAAAGAACGAGGCAGTGTGAAGTTTTCTCTGCAAGTAAGTACTGAGCAAAGTGCCTGACTACATTTCAGTATGCATTAGTCCATTAAGAGGCTGACGGCTTCATTTCATAACACAATATTCATGCATACTTTAAGGTAATTTGTTTTCTCTTAAAGATAGCAAAAATCTTATTTTTGTATTATTCTTTAATAAAATGAAATAATAATTTCATTCATAAACCCTAATCATCCTTTCATTGTCCATAATCACCACTCGATTATTAATTTAGTAAAGTTAATATTGTGTCTTCAAGTCATCATCTTTCATACATTTGATTTAGAATTGAATTTGTTATTGATGGAGAAGCTTTTCTTTTTTATTATTATGCAATTTAAAAATTGCTTTTCCTTTTTTTTGTGCAAAGAAGTTTTGTGGGTGGTTGCTGCTATTAATATACAAAATACAGTGTTTCTTCAACCTTTCAGATCAACAATCCATCAGTTTAAGGAGAAAAAAATACAGTGATCCCTTTGTATCACAGAATCACTGCGGTTGGAAGGGATCTCTGGAGATCGCCTGGTCCAACAAAGTTCATATTTGTTGAGGGCTGCTAAAAATATGAGTGTCACAGCAGTGATAATTTTCTGGTTTCTGTGGGTATGTTTATCAAGCCTGAACTAAAGACAATATTATGCAAAAAAATATTGTAGGTAAGACTTCCTTTGTTATGCAGTAAACCTTTCAGCCTTTCATCATGTTTGTGTCATTTCAGGACAGTGGTAAGATGATCTAGTTTATAAAGTTAGCTGTTTACTTTTGGTTTTGGAAGAGAAGGACCATGATGTATATATGAATCTAGGGATTAATTTTCAATTTCCATGAAAATCTGATCAGCTTTGGCTCAATTGTGAATTCCTGAGAAGACTGGAGTGAGCAAAGAGCTTTTGAGCCAAAAAGGAAGTGATGGAGAACCAAACAGGTCTCAGGAGTGAAGAGAAGTAAGGATGGAAATGCCCAGAATGTGTAAGGTGAATAATCATTGTAATAAAGAAGAATATAAAGATGATATTTCCTTAATAATAGTAGGTTCAAGAATGCTATAGCATTTCCCAGCTTCCTGTGTCTGCTGCTCCATCCCCTCTTTGTAAGGTTTGACAGTCACAGCATTCAAAGAAAATATGGAAAGGATTTAGAAGTACGCCGTGAGAATGATTTGGAGCCTGAGAAGTATGGATTGTGATGTAAAGTTCAGATGGATTTTGTCTACAGAAGAGATGATGAAAGAAAACATGATAACAGTTTTCAAATAATTAAGCAATTTGGAATAAACTCATTTTGTCCATGATGAGCGAAACAAGACATTATAGGCTGAGTTTGCAGTTCAGGAAATTCAGATTAAGCACAAGAAAAGCCTCTTTTGGCAGTGAGAACAGTGAAGCACTGGGAGACGGTGCATATGAAGGTTTTGGAATCGCCATCTGTTGTAACAAGAGACCAGGCAAATATCTCCAGGAATTACATCAGTAGAGCTGATGCTGTTTTGGGCCAAAGCATGAACTAGTTGGCTTTAGGACATGACATCCAACTCCATTTTTAAAAATATAATTATACAACTACAAGTAGAGAATGTTTTTCAAGTCTTTAATCCTCCAGGAAAAGCTGTAATAGCTTCTGTAGTTGGAATAAGAGCTACATAAATTCAGGATGTGAAGACATTCATTTTAAGACCAGCTAATCACTGGAAAAAATCCCCAAAGGACGTGGTAGATCCTACATAGCTTGAAGCGGAAAGTGTTGTAGTCCATATATAATTTATGGGTATGACTCAGATGTAACCATTTGAAATGGCTGTATTTAGTCTGTATTTTACAGGATGTGAAACTCGATGATCTTAAATCCTATTTAGTTTTATTGTGGGACGAAATTTTCCTGGGGTATCATATTTTGTGTGTCTGTGTAAGCAAGACGTTCAAGTAACACAACCCACTGTATTTATTCCCCATCTGGAATAAAGTTGTGACTTTAGGTGATGGTCAGGCAGATCCCCAGACTTTGTGTTATTTTTCTTGTATTGTTTACAGTGAGGGAATATTTGTAGAAATCCAGTGAAAAATACTGCAAATGACGTTACAATCACTCTGGTTTTGACTGCTGGATGAGATGTTAGTTTCTCCACTTGCACGAGGAGTGAGAGAGTTACTTGAGTCACCACAGCAGGTGGCATGTCCAAACGTGAATCACAGCTGGGACACGTGTGACCAAAGGCCCGTGCAGGTACAGTGGTGTCTGTGTTTAGCCTGGGCCCGGGGCTGAACTCTAACAGTCACTCTGTCACCCAACAACCCCTCACGAGCCAGGGAAATTGAGAACCGGGGAAAAAGGAGAGCAGACCCGTGGGTTGACGTGAAAAGAGGTTTAATGAAACACCACCAATACTGACAAATGTGTGCAGAGTTATACTGAGCCAAACGAGCATCCAGCCATCGCAACCAACAGGAGAGCAGTCCTCAGGAGTGGGGAGAAGCCAGAGAAGGGGCAGGAGGAACCCCACAGGAGCTCCCCTTCCTCAGCAAACCTTCCGCCTTCATACTGACCATGCCGTTATGGGACAGGCTACCCCTGTAGCTCACTCAGGGTAGACTCCAAGCTGCTAACGGCCTGCCTGGCGTGGCTGGGCCGGGATTCTGTCCCAGCCAGACCAGGACAAGTAGTGAAACAGTGACTACACACCCGTTCTTAATGACTGCTAATTATTGTAAGTAGGAGATAGGGAACCGATGTGACAGCAACTGGAAGCAAAGGAAGAAATGACATTTTCAAGCCATTTTGTTAAATCAGATACCCCAGCTAGCTAAGGAGGAGGGACAGATGGAGCTGAAATCCAGGAGAAAGGAGATAAATCATTATTTCCGCATTAACTTTGTTTTGAATTTGCTTTCTTGCATTAAACTAACTACTAAATACTGCATTCTGGTTCACTAACATATATGTTTGGTTGTTTGTTTCTAATTTTTAAAGCCATTTGGTATTATGTAGTTTTTACGAGTTGCATTCTGGACGTGTTGAAGTTTAGACTTTAATCTTATAGGAAGCTACAGTAAGAAATAGGTTTGAAACCAAATGGCTCAATCTTTGCTAGTGCTCTTGCATTTGTCATTTTGAGGTTGTGTTTGGAGCCGTGCAATAAAGGTGAGACATCAAGAACAAACTCGGTTGGCAAAATTGCATCAGCAACGCTGGAAATGTTTCTGAGATTGTAGTAGCGATATTTTGCGTGCTCTTAGCATCTTACTTTTGAAGAATATAAAATGCTTCAGAAATACTGTTTTTCAGAATACGAAGAAGAAACAGATGGAATAACTTGAACTTCAGGCGGTGAGCTAATTTTCAAACTTCTTCAGTGTACATTAGGTCATTAGGCAGAAAGCTACTTTGTGTAACAGTGCATTTAATGTGTACTTACCATAAAAGCTATTTCCTGTTATTCTGTAAAGCCAATTAGCTATTTACCAAATACCAAATTTCATGTCCCTGTGAGTTCTTATTTCTATGTGCAGCATGAAAAAAGGGAAATGGTGGTCATATAAATTATTATCTTGATACTTATATCATGCACTTTACACTATTAGATTCTTTTCTAAGAGGGATTGAGGTACACCTTTAGTTTATCTCAGAGCTACTTATTAGGTAGAGCCCCTCATTTTTTCTGTGACAGACTCATACCTTCAGATATTTTGTACAATATAATGGTTTCTCCCTGTGTGTTGGTCTTGGTTTTATTGTATGTGTAATATTTAATTATTCTGCATTCTAGGTATAACAGAGAAGATGTATTTCCCCACCACTTTTCTTTTTGCCTGCTATCCCATATTACTCTTGTTCCGGGATACAGGGATATAATATTTTATGAGATATTCCTGGAATCTCATCTAGGTCTTGAAATTAAGGAGAGTCCTGAAGCTTCTGGCCAGGAGCTGAATTAATTCAGCCTATGAAGGATGCATTTGAGTTTGCATCATAATAAATGTCTGTGTGTTATTTAGCGGTAGCTCTTAATGTGATATTTCAGAGGTTATAGTATTTCCCAAATTGTCGGCATGTCTCTCCCTGTCTGCCAGTTTAGGTTACAGACAGGAGGGAGGATCACAAATTCTCTGAACTTGCAGCTGTAGTAAAGAGAAATCTCTGCAAATAATTTTCACTGCAAGTGTACCTGATGCAAATGCTTGAATTACCGAAGAGTATGAAATTTTATTGCTGAGCAATGAACTGCCTCCATTACATAAACTTGTAAGAAATGTCATTTGTGGGCTGTAAGCGTCAGGGTTAGTAACTGTCGTACTGCTCCAAATATGTGTTATAAAGAGATATTGTCCTATGAAAATCTTCTATCGATTCTCAAACTGTGTACGTATGTAAATAGAGCTAGGTGGGGATTAGAAAACAAAGGTCTAATGTAATGAAACACTAGCGATTTTGAGTATTTGAGAAGGCCACAAACATTCAAAAGTTATTTTGGTACTTAATTGTCCATCTTTTTAAATACGCGTGCCCTCATTTTGGTCCACATTTTACTATTTTGTTGGATTGAAGAGCCATCCACTATTACAGCTGTCATTCGTCTGTGAGTCCCTATGATGTGATCAAGTCAGGTCCCCGCTGCTTATTTGAATGATTGAGTATGATGGAAACCATTGCTGAATTTGCTGTTTTATCCTGTGCCACATTTATCAAAGATACTTACCTGAAAGACATAACCAGGATGATTCAGCTCGTCTTCCTTTTAAACACCCGAGCTTGTTTCCCCAAAAGACTCTAAAGATCTCTACACAGAACAGAAAGTGTACTTATGTTTTTTGTTGTGTTTGACATCAGTACTTTGACAAATGCAGTCGTCACGAGCTTGTTTCCCCAAAAGACTCTAAAAATCTCTACACAGAACAGAAAGCGTACTTATGTTTTTTGTTGTGCTTGACATCAGTACTTTGACAAATGCAGTCGTCAGGGGGACCATATTTGTGCCATGATATCTGTGTTTTCCGCGTGGCTGTCCTGCAAGAGGTCAGCTGAAGAGCCATTGCACCAAAAGCAGAACAACTTTCCCAGGCCCTGGTCAGTGATAATTCTGTTTCGAGCAGAGGCGAGGAAACCATGCGGTTCACACGCTGAAAGCTGGAGCTATCCCTGTGGTGTTGCTGTCTTTAAGGAAACTAAAAATACACCATACCTGTGCTCCATCTGACAGGACTTCCCTTCCCTGCTTTCCGGAGATTTTGCCTTCAGGAGAGTGTTTTTGTCTCTGTGTTCATGCCTATTTGCTGTTACGTGTACAGTTGAATTTTCTGTGTTTCGTGGTGTTTTCTGTGTGAAAGAGTGGTTTGCATTTGCTGACTCTAATGGAGGATTATTGGCATAATTTGTCTCGGGCTCGCTTGTGGTCGGTGTCAACTAATGGGCAGTGAACCCTAACCAGAAGGTGCAATAAGCTCCGTAATTAGCAGTAGTGATTTGTCTCTGTGAGAATCTTAACCTAAATTAAAACAGTCAAAAGATACTTTATATCAGATTCAGTAGAGTTCTTCATCAGAGGATGACATGACCTAGTTATGTATTGCATGACTTTGTTTTGCAGGATTCATTTCTTGAGAATATGAAATGTCTTTCACAAACTCACGTAATTTTCCTTCCAACTGTTGTGATTGAAGTTACTAGATGTTTTTAGTGTGTAAGTAGTGTTGTTTTTTCCATTGAATTTCTGGTAAATGCATTTGTTTTCTTTCTGTAAACCACTTTTTTACTGAAACTTTCTGTGCATGAGTGTTGTGTGAGTAATAAACAGAGAGGCTACTGAATAGGTCCGTGTACAAATTTCAGAATTAGATTTACAGATGTGTCAGTTAATGATAGTGACATATTTGTTTGAAATGTAAATTCCATTCCCTCTTATATCTGTCTGGTGTCTTATGTCCACCTTGTAATTTTAGCCAATCATAGTATCTTAAAAATGCAGATAGGTCTTAAAGGGGGATGTAGTGAGAAGGATTAGGTTGTTAATGACCTGAATTTCAGACTTCTCACATATAGCAGGGCGTCCGTAAGCTATTGAGGGGAGGTCCCAATCAGATAGGAAAAGGAGGAAAATCATGCTGAATTTGTCAGGAACTTGAACAGCAGTCTCATTCCTATAAATGGGAACAAAAGGAAGAGAAACCTTGTATGAATCCTTCTGCCTCTGAGACAGAGGCATGCGTTGTGTGTCTATTATAACACTGAATATAGGAGAGACAGGTTTCTAGGATTATGCCATAGAGTATTTCTCAGTAGCTAGAAGCTGGCCGATGAGGTGGCTGGAGAGAATTTGAGGGTAAGAAGGTCCTGCAGTGTGCCTGAACCGTCAAATATCTTGATATCTTTAATGACCGTATTTATCTGAACAGTAATTTAAAGCATCAACTCGTGTTTAGACTTATGGCACAGTCACGAGATACATTTAATTATGCAAAAATCTGTTCTTTCAGCTCTTGACATCTGCACACTCCTAGTCATTAGACTAATGGTGGTGTACTAATGCTACCAAGAGAAAATATTTTTCTTGTGCTCTGGCAGTAAAACAGAGAAAGAAGAGTGCTGTACTTTGTAGCTAATGGAAGAGACAGATCCATGTCAAGAACATGGTGACTAAATTAAGGTACTCATTTCTATAATGAACATTTTTTTTTGTTGTTAAACTTCATCTTTTTTTTTTTCCTTTTTTTCATTATTTTAGGGAATAATGAATGAAACTGGGAAGAAAACAATATTTTTACTACAAAGCTAGTTTTCTGCCCCTTCCCGTGCCTTTAAGAAACTGCCTTCCTGCTAGGAGCAAGTAAACTTTATATAGTAGCATGAGAATAGTGACTTGTCTAAATGTTTTGCTCTTAGCTGCAAGTTCTAAGGCTTTCTTTTAACAGCTGCAGATAAAAATCTTGTTTTCCATGCCTTCCTCGTTTCCAATTGTAGATATTGCAGCGTGCAAAAAGGGCAGGGAAGTGCAACTCCTTTCACTGCTTTGAGTTCTGTCTTTACTCCCTGTGCCCCGTTTTTCACAGCAACAGATCGATGAAGAAGATACAGCAGAACAAACACATCCAGGTAAGGGTCTTTTTTTGTATTTAGTGATACCGCATTGTGAAGTGGCTGCCTTTGACTGTAGCAGATACGGTGCCATTATAGAACGATGCTGATCTTTAAATTCTGCTCTCTTAATTGAACTTGTCTCGAGAACATACTGTTGCTTTCTGGAAAAGTAACTTATGCTGGGACTTAAAATGGCTTATTGTGGCTTGTATTGCAGAACACTTAGCGTTTTATTTCTTTAAAACGCATCTTCAGTTGTTTCCTTTGCTGATGATACCTATCAAGCAAAGTGTTTGATTACAATTGTTTTTCTGTTTGCATGCATTAGGGCTGCCTGGCTTTTAAGGACAGCGTAGTTCACTCAGTAGAATTCTTCCAGCAAAACCCATAGTAACTCTCTTATCATCAGGAAAGACAATAGGAAAGATTTAGAATCTACCCAATAAAGAGTAAAAAGATTTTTAGGCAGTAATGGGTCCTGTTGATGTAACTGTGAGAGAAATAGCTGTACGCAGCAATAGGGCTGACCATTAATGTGTACCTGTTACTGCCCAGTAGCTCTTCCTACATAAATTTAATTTAAACAAATATAAGCAATTTCAGATATGAGGATAAATGCTGTCGTTTTTATTTTGCTCAAACAAGTTTTGTATGATTTAACTGAAGTTATAGCGTAACGTGATATTAAGAGTATTTTGAGCTCTGATCTTGTATATAAGAGACAGTATGTTTGACTTGGAGATTTTGTCTTTATAAGGTATAATGAACATACAGCCTGGGAATAATAAAAAATAGAAATTAAGAAATGAAAAACAGTAATATGTAACTCTAATTTCTAACCAAAAGCTTTTAATGAAGGGGGAATTTTGTGCCAATATTTAATGTAGGCTGGAAAGTTCAGCTGGTTAAAACCTCAGAATGAAATGTGGAACAGGACAGCTTTTGCTTTCATATGCTTTTACATATGTATTTCTGATTGAACAAAAAAGCCCACCTCATTGCTTTTAATAAATGTAACTGTGATTTCAGCAGAAAGAAAATAATTGATTAATATTTAGGTGATTATTCTTCGTAAGTATCATCCAGGCACTTTTTCCTTTTTTACAGTGTTCCTAGTGAGATCAGAAAATTTCATTTGTTGCTGTCAGAAGAGCAACCGGACTCCTCCCTCCATCCCTCCCCCAGGCATCCCAATACAAAAGAAAACTTTCTGTATGGGAGCTCACTAGCTAGCTAGGATGTTCTTTCGAGTGGAATGGTGAAGGTGAGAAAATGAAGACTTTCTGCCTCTTTGAAGATACAAACTAGCTGAAATTAGCTTAAGAAATCAGTGTAAACTTTGTTTTTTTAAATTTTGAAGGGGGTGTTGTAAGTATTTTGTTTTTGCTAAATATTTGTCTACTATGAGAAATCTCTATTGCTAATTTTCTTAATTTAAAGCTATGCATATTTGATCAGAATATTCAGGGATGTATGTATACACATGTGTCTATATAAAAAAAATATGTTCACACATGTTTTTAAATCTTAGATGTGGTTTCTAAAATCTTTTATTTTAGGTACAGGTATGTACTTAAGAAAATGTGCCTTTAATGTGCAACTACTATATTGCTGTAAATATGTAGCTTTTCTTATAGTTTTTATGTGGCAGTATAACATTTTGTTGAACATTAATATATTTCTCATATTAATTACTGACTACTTGTCTTGTTGTTTTGTCATATCAACTTAATGCACAGTATTTCTCAAACTGGCCTTAGTACTATCTAATCTGAGCTGTACTGATCTTGACATAGTGGAATTTTTGTACCTACCCAAATCTGGAATGTTTTTGTCACTAAAATGCTGGGGAGTGATTTTTTTCCGGGATGTTTAAGTAATACACAGTCTAGCCTGTTGCATACATTTCTGATTTTGGAGCTAATGAGTGAATACATTTTATTATATGATATTGTGAAAACTTTATATATTACATCTGTTAAAATAATACAAAAAAACCCGACACAAAACCACAAAAAAACCCACCCCACTGGTAAATATTTATCGAAACGCAAAGTTTTTATTGGGGTGGGGTGATGAGTGGGAAACGGAGAGTCAAGGACAGAGTGCTGGGTGGAAGATACAGCCATATATTTTAGAAACAGCAGCAGTCCAGTAATATGTCCAAGTTTGATTTTACAAAGGACTAAGTCTGTTAAACCTGTTGATAATTATTGGTAGTTAAATAGAAGAAAATGGTGATCAGAGAGCAAAAGTATTTTCTCTTTATTGAAACTGAGTAGGTGATAGCCTTAGCTTTTTGCAAGGCATTGAACAACACAGAAAACAGGATTCCAAGCCTATTTCATAAGTTGTGGCTGTGAGCTGCTTTCTTATTTTTTCTTGTTCCAGAGGAACAGTGGTTGGTCTGATAGAAAAATATTTGAGCTACGTATAAAATAGTGTTTTGATTCCTTTTTTTAATCACCTTTTTTGTGAAATATAAGTTATTATTTTTAATAATGGTCGTTCATTTCAGAATACAAGTCTAGTGCACTCATGGTGATGATGAACTTGGAGGTGCTTATGATATTCATAACTTTCAGATCAGGGTTTCCTGTTGTATATGGTGAACTGATTGAATGTGAAATTTAAAATCTGAAATAGCTAATGCAGGCCATTGGTTTTGCTGACATCCAGTTCTGCTCTTGTGGGTCATAGAGGAAGGTGACTCCAGAGTGTTAGTGGTCTCCGTTTAACAGCAAGGAAAGTTTTGGCAGCGATGGAATGATTCAATGCAAGTTCGATACCTATATTTAGGTGTCAAAATGCAGCTGATTGTCTGTGATCTAGGTGTTCAGTCTCCCATTACAGTCCATGGAGGTTTAGTTAATGTTGTCACTGGAGTTTTAGATGGTTTTAAAGTATCTGTCTCCAATCATTTGTACATCTCTACAGCCTGGATTGACTATGCATACCGTTAGATATCCACTGACTTTGATGGGAGTTAGGATGCCTTGTTCACATGAAGGACCTCAACGAAGATATCTTTACTTACGGACTGTATCCAGCCATAACATCTTTGGCGTTCTGTATATCTGGCCTATGTGTTAATATAAATTTGTCAGGTTTTAAGGTACTAAAAAGGCTACTGATTTCGTTGATACAGCTGAAAAGGCGATTTTGTTCCATGAACCAGAATTGAATGTGATGTATGCACTTAAGTGTGGTTAAGTACTCCTTCATGAACTTGGATATGTTCTTGACATAAGAAGACATAAGGCAGGACACACCGATATGTAGCAGCAGGAGCTCTCAGCTCTGCAGGACTCGGGTGTTTAGGCTGCATCCCCAACAGGTACAAGCAAGGTTAGCCCTAGCAGACAGGGCTGATGATAGCTAAAATCAGATGCTTGTAAATTTGTGTATTAATATAGAGCATCACTTGGAGGAGCAACGCTAGGAATATTTAAATGTTCTGCAAAAGCTGAATTTCAGTACTGTGCTATTGTGTTTTGGGCTTGTTTTTATTTTTTTTGTTCTTAAACCCCATTTGGGGCCAGATTCCTCACTGGTGTGTATTGCTCTGACTTTGAGAAGCTGTTGCTAATTGAGAGCAGCAGAGGATCTGTCTCTCCTGTCTCTCAAGACATAACTTGGATCTTCATGAAATTTCCTTGGAAATTTCTGGTTCTGGATGTTCTGTTGTTATCGTTGTCTGAATTCCCTAAACTAAAACAAAACCCCTGCACAATCATTCTGGCTCCAGGCCGTTGCATATTCTTGTTAAAGAAGTGTATCTATGCATTTGAAGAAGAGAGCTGTAATGACAAGAGAGTGTTGATCCTCTGACATGTGCACATGTGAGCTCCCAAACTGAAGTAGCACAGCCAGACTGGGGGCAATAAGAAATGTGGAGTGTTTTAAGGACTTGTTAGTGACCAAAAGTGTTTATTAGATGGGAGCAATTGGTTTGACATGAGTCAAAGGACAAGTCAACCTGCAAGGGGTCAAAATTTTCTTTGTCTTTTGTGGATGAGAACTGCAGTCATGTAAATTGCTGTCATCTACAAGTAATGTGGTAAATTCCGGCCGGAAGACATTAGTAACTGAATATTTACAGTGATTTGCCTTGAGTCACTTCAGTGCTTCTCATTACCTTGCCACCCTTCCCTTGTCAGTGATTTAAGCTCAAGCAGAATAATTGAAAATAAGTTCTTGAAGATACTCTGCTTATCCTCAGAAGAATTGCAGTATTTGAGAATATGTGAGAAAGTGAATTTGCTTCTTTGTATTTACTTTTTCCTGGGCTGGTATGGGAGGCAGAATTGACCCATACCTGTCAGCATGAATAAACAAATCAATGACTTGGATCAAAATCTGAGTAGTTAATAGGAATTAAATTCCTTTCCACTGATGTGTGGAAAAGAGTGGTTATTAAACAAATAGACATAACCAAGACCTCCAGAAACAGCAGGCACTCTGCTGCAGAGCCACAAAGCACTAAGGCACCTGCAAAATTCTAGGACAGACTAATCATCATATTGACCTGCAGCTGTGAGGAGGGCGATACCAGATTTACTTGGTTATTTGGTTTGCAGTAGTGATGTAGGGTGCCTTTAGATTGTTTAAATTCTGCATAACAGGCAGTGGGTATGGAGCATCCTGAGGGTCGGTCAGTGGTCGAATCTCCTCGTGAAATTTGGGTTGAGGACGTGCAGGTCCCTGGCTTTTCTAGGCACGCAGAGCAGGGGTGGTCATAAGCAGAATTAAGCATAGCAGCTAGCCCAGTTCTGCCGCTGGTGTTACTGTAATTTTTTGAGAACTGTGTACGAAATGAGTGTACTAAATGATTTGTGATCACTAAGTCTTGGTGTGGAAGTATGCAGAAGTCATTGTCAGCAAACTTAGTGAAATGATATCAAGCAGCATGCTACATTTTGTAGTGTGATGCATCATATGCAGGGTGCCCTGGCAGCCAGGAGTGAAAACCGCACCCTGGGGTGCAGCAGGACCAGCCGCTCCAAAGGGGTGATCATCCCGCTGTCCTCAGCTCTGGTGCGGCCTGGCCCGGAGCACTGTGTGCCGTTCTGGGCCCTGCCATTTAGGAAGGGTGTGAAGGTCCTTGCATGCATCCAGAGGAGGGCAACAAAGCTGGTGAAAGGGCTGGAAGGGGTGTGCTCTGAGGAGCGGCTGAGGGCTTTGGGTTTGTCTGGTACAGAGGAAAGGAGGCTGAGGGGCGACCTCGTTGTTCTCTGCAGCTTCCTGAGGAGGGGAAGCGGCGAGGGAGGTGCTGAGCTCTTCTCCCTGGGATCCAGCGATGGGAGGCATGGGAGTGGTTCAAAGCTGCACCAGGGGAGGCTCAGACTGGACATTAGGAAGCATTTCCTCAGTGAGAGGGTGGTCAGCCACTGGAACGGGCTTCCTAGAGAGGTGGTCGATGCCCCAAGGCTGTCAGGGTTTAAGAGGCATTTGGACACTGCCCTTAACAACATGCTTTAGCCTTTGGTCAGCCCTGAATTGGTCAGGCAGGTGGACCAGCTGTCTGTTGTAGGATCCCTTCCAACTGAAATAGTCATATTCTGTTCTATTTTCATATGGGGTTTTACAGAAGGAGGAAATAATTTATCTAATGGGTATTGGTTTTAAGTTGTATATTATTTCTCTTATTTTGTAATTGTCAGTAGTTTTCTCTTTTAAGTTACTTCTAGCGCAGGAAACAAACATATAAAAGGAAAAATGGATCCCTTGTTTTGGCCATCAGAAACTAACAGCTTCCGACGTTTCACCCCTGAGTCCTTGGCAGCAATCGAGGAAAGAATTGCTGAGAAAAAAAAGCAGCGAGCCGAAGTTAACCAGAAGAATAATGACCAAGGAGTTGAAAAAAATAAACTTACTCCTCAGCTTGATCTGAAAACCTGCAAAAAACTTCCATCTCTGTATGGGGACGTTCCTGCGGAGCTCGTTGGGGAACCCCTGGAAGATGTTGATCCATACTACAGTGATCACAAGGTTAAACTTTAAAAAGCATTTTTTTATTTAATTTTGTCTGCAGAACTCCAAAGAGATAGTAAAAGCTCTGTTCAGGAGATACTGTTTTTTGATCGTTCTGTAGACAGATCTTTGAACATTACTAGTGTTTTTTGGGGCAGGAGTGCTAAGGTATGCTCCACATTACATAACAAAAACGTATTTTAAGTTCCAGTCAGTCATCTGTATTAATTATAAAAACATGATACGTTTGATAGATACACTTTGCTCGGAAATACATTCTGGGATAACTGTTGCTTTGTTTTACAGAGCAGTTTGTATGATGTCTGTGGAGCTGAACTCACTGTCGTATAAACAGTGCCTGTCAAACAGTAGGTCACGCTGGAATTGCTGACTTACTGCAGACGCTTTTGCTGAATTACAAATATTACACAAATTAGGGGAGGTGTATTTGAGATATTTCCAGCACTCTCTGTTGCAAATCCATATATTTTCATTATAGTAAATTAATTTTATGTGATTTTATGTCTCATTGTCTTTGTTTATTGTACCATATTTATATTGCATATACTCCGTAGTATTGGAAAGTGTTTTGTGTTGTTGCCTATAGGAATGTTTGAAGTAGATGCTCTAGGAATCCCTTCTAAATGAAATGTCTAATGCTTGTTGTTCTTCTCCTGAAGAGCAGAAGGTTCCATCCAGTCCTATGTGGCTGTTTTTTATGTATCCAGCAAGACACTGGAATATAACAACTTGATAGAGAACATGCAGAAAGCTTTGTTCTTCATGAACGAGTATCTTCCAGAGATTCTTTTTTCTCAAAGTAATCAAAGTGATATTCTTGATGAATAGAAACTAAGGCTGATTCAGTCGAAGAACTTTACATAAAAGATAGTGAACCGTGTTTTTGCTTTAAGAGATTTCATTTTTGCTTCATGTGGCGAAAGTACTGAGCTGCATGGACCTTAAAGTAGCTTAGAGGGAATTAGAGTGTTACTTGATAATTTAGAGGTATTTCAAAACTAAAATTTTTGCTTTGACCAGACTGGATTCTGGCCATCCTACATAATATGTATTTTGTAAATAATCTTTTGTAGCCTGTAAAACCATCCAAGAGTAAGGTACTTTTGAGTGTGATTAACACCATTGTTGCAGTCCCAGAATAGTATCCTTTAATTACTTTGATCAAGTGAATATAGGATCTGAAATCACAGAGTGGGTTGGGTTGGAAGGGACCTTGAAGATCATTTCATTCCAACCCCCCGGCCATGGGCAGGGACACCTCCCACCAGACCAGGTTGCTCCAAGCCCCATCCAACCTGGCCTTGAGCACTGCCAGGGAGGGGGTAGCCATGGCTGCTCTGGGCAACCTGTGCCAGTGCCTCACCACCCTCACAGGGAAGAACTTCTTCCTTACATCTAATCTAAATCTCCCCTCTTTCAGTTTGAAATGTTTACCCCTTGTTCTATCACTACACTCCCTAGTAAAAAGTCCTTCCCCACCTTTCCTGTAGCCCCCTTTAAGCACTGGAAGGCCGCTTGAAGGTCTCGCCGGAGTTTTCACTTCTCCAGGCTGAACAACCCCAACTCTCTCAGCCTGTCCTCACAGGGGAGGTGCTCCAGCCCCTGATGATCATCTTTGTGGCCTCTGGACCCGCCCGAGCAGGTCTGTGTCTTTCTTGTGCTGGGGGCCCCAGAGCTGAACGCAGCACTGTAGGTGGGGTCTCACCAGAGTGGAGCAGAGGGAGAGAATCCCACTCCCTCAACCTGCTGCCCACGCTGCTCTTGAGGCAGCCCAGGATTCGATCGATTTCCTGGGCTGCAGGCGCACATTGCTTGTTCATGTTCAATTTTTCATCCACCAACACCCACAAATCCTTCTCCCCAGGGCTGCTCTCAATCCACTCATCCACCAGCCTGTATCTGTGCTTGGGATTGCCCCCACCCATGTGCAGGACCTGGCACTTGGCCTTATTGAACTTCAAGAGGTTTGCACAGGCCCACCACTCCAGCCTGTCCAGGTCCCTCTGGATGGCCTCCCTGCCCTCTGGCATGCCGACTGCACCACCCAGCTTGGTGTCGTTGGCAAACTTGCTGAGGGCACACTCAGTCCCACTGTCCGTGTCGCTGACAAAGGTGTTAAACAGCTCTGGTCCCAATACCAACCTCTGAGGAACGCCACTCATCACTGGTCTCCACTTGGACATCGAGCTTTTTGATGGCTTGCTCTTCAAATTAATTCCCATTACTGCTTTTTTCCTCACAGGCAATAATGAGCTTTTATATAGCTGGTGTCTTTATTTCACAATGTAGTATCATCAGGTCACAGCTCCAAGTAAGACTACAGGAAAGTTTTACTCATAATTGCAGTTACATTTTTGGAAAAAAAGATTGTTGCATTAAAATATTTCATATACTATTAATCTTTTTTTTTGGTAGACTTTCATGGTGATAAATAAAAGGAGGACTATTTTCCGGTTTACTGCCACACCTGCCTTGTGTATATTTGGTCCTTTTAATCCAGTCAGAAAAGCAGCAATTACAATTCTGACACATTCATATCCTTTTATTGGTTTCCCTTATTTCAGTTTTCAAATCTACTGTACCATTTTCTGTCATTCTGTTCGTATTGATGTAAATGTGAGCTCACGTGGCTGTGATAGAGATTTTTTGAAAGTTACACTGAATCTTGTTTTACAACAGCTAAGATATCTGCATGGTGTTGGTACAAGTAAAAAGATCAAAAAGCTTGTATTTAAAGTCAGATTTGCAGATATTGTAATGAGACAACGTTTAGAAGCTACTGTATGATACTTCAGCCCTTTTCTGGAACTTTTTCTAAGTGTCTACTGTGGTGACAAGCTTAAATTTAAAAAGCAAAACAAAACAAAACAGTGACTCCATGGTTGTTAAAACATGAAGGATTTATGGCAATGCTTTACTGAAAGAGTCTGATGTTATTCTAAGAAATTTATTTCACACTTAAGTTTAGGGAGTTCTTAAGAGCACCCATTTTTTGTATTTTTACATCGTAGCAAAAGTATAAACATCGTTTGAAGACTATAAAAATATGAAGGATCTCAGGTGCAAAACCATAGGCTGAGTAGTTTCTGCTCTTTCTGCCCAACATCTGTTTTCATTTGGAATTATTAATTTGTAGAAACAGGCCCTTTTATGGGAACCTAAGGCTGACTTTGAATGCATATTTGTGCTATTAGAAATTACCAAATTTGATGTTCAGTTTCAAATAAACCCTAAATTTAAGGCAATTATTTGTTTTAAAACACCCTACTTTTATTTGGTGACAAGTGAACTTTCATGAAAGGATGTTTTTTCTTCAGTATGTTTTCATTGCCTGCAACATAAAATGAGAAAGATTTTTGAACTCACAGCAGATCATAGTTCTCTCTTGTAAGAATGCATATATGGACTCACAGTTTCAGAGAATACTGGTTATTGATAATTAAGCTTTTTCATCTGGTGTTTCTAGGTTTACAAACCCTAGTTACTGTGACGTTGTGGCTCATTTCTCTTTATTCCATGTTCCTGCTGGGAAGAAATGGGGATTTCTGAAGTTTCAAGTAACAGCAGACAGCAGAGGACTTGGATTTTTTAATTTATTTATGTTCCTCATTTCTTCTGTCAAGCATATTATGTCCCACTGAAGTCCTAACATCCAAAACTATCTCTGTATGCAGATAATTCATTGTTAATTTTAAATCTTGACGTTTACTCAGCTGAGCAGAAATTTGATTTGACATCAGTTTCTTTGGAAAACACATGAAAAATCCTGAGCATATTCAAAACCAAAGTAATTATTTGGATATCTGTATGGTTTTTGTGTGTGTAAATCAGTAACTTTTCTGAACTTTGTTGTTTTTTAATATAGCACTTTTTCCTTAACTTATTATTCACATTATTTGTTGGCTTTATCACATGTACTGTGGTACTCAATTGTGCTTCCATGGCTCTAAATAAGCTTCCAGATGCACTCAGCTGGACTGAGTAAGTATCTCAGTTGCCATTTCTTCACTCTTTTTCTAAGGATGCTAATATGCTGGACTGAAAAGTTTGAATGATGTGGTGATCTAATTCTGAGGCTTGAAAATTCTCAGACAGATCTCTGAGGAAGATTTAGGATTTTTATTGTTATATCACACAGTCTTCTATGGAGCTTCAGTGCCTTTTCTTAGAGGCTTACATTATATGCCCTTTTCTCTACGTTGGCTAATTTTGCCACCTGGTGTTACATTCTTCCTTTTAAGGATTAAACCGTTTAGAGAGAGACTGAGCAGCAGGATTCTAATTTAATATGTTTCATTCTGAAGCAATAACCTGAATGTCTGTTATGGCCAGCTGATGCAAAAAGATAAGGGGATAAATAATACTCTGTTCTTTCTTGCTGTTTCCTGGGGGCACCTGTAGTTCAGTTGTTCACATTAGGAAGCCATCTATTTGTACTGTCTTGTTACCTTCTGTAATTGTGCACTCTGTCCAGTGTAACTTAGCTTAATGGTCTGGAATTAAATCTTGAAAATGTGCCTGGGGCCTCAGAGGTTCTGTAATTTTAATTCCTCTTGTTTTGGGGTAAACATAGTGATAATGATAGCTTTATTTTATGTAGGGCTTCTTTCAGTTACAGAGTGTTTGTCAGAATAAATGTATAAAATGTGCAAACTTTACAGGCTAAAGTAAACCTTTAATTTTATTGTTCTGCCAAGATGTTGAGGTTTTGAAATTTTCCAGCCTGCTTTAGAACATAAACACAGTCTTAAAAATTTTTCTTAAGGAAATATCCTTCATCCAGAAATACTATGGTATGCTTACGTGAACATTTGTGAGTATAGATTTACATGGAAATCTTACTGAAATTCAGGAAGGCATCTTCTTATACCCACGATGTTTCTGAAAGTAATGTAACCTGTCCTGTTTTACTTCACATTTCCTGCCTTCATCTCCATCCAGTGACTAAATCATAGAAGAAGTAGAAATGTGCCTGAATGTGTCTCAATCTCATTAGTATTTTTATTTCTATAACATTAATGTATACTTTCCTTCTCAGATTTCTTTTTACTGGCATATATACTGGTGAAATATTGATAAAAGTATTAGCTAGAGGATTTGTTTGGAATGAATTTACCTTTCTTCGAGATCCATGGAACTTCTTGGATCTTGTCGTTATTGTCATAACGTAAGTAAAATTCAGTTGTTCTGCTACACTCAAGGGACAACCGCACAGATAAAAAGGTATTTGATATTTCTGAAGTTCTTTAAAGGGGTTGGCATCCTGCCTGCTTAAGAGTTACTGTGGTTGAATCACCCTTTGCATATCTGCAAAGAGAAAAATAGCCATAGACATTAAAGCAAGACCTAAATGCAAAACTCATCTTAGAATTGTTTAATTGTTCTCAATTTGGTACATATTTAAATTTTGTTAAGAGGTGATTGCATAGACAGCCAAACCCAAGCATGCCTCTTTATATTGTCTTAGTTGGACTCTGGATCAGATGAAATGCTTCCTTTTTAAATATGACGTTAGTCAGGAGCTCCCTGTTCAGACAAGCTGGTTTTCTGCCACATCCTCTTGACTTTCTGCAAAGCAGAATGCATCGTTTCTGTGCGTTGGAGAAAATACTGATGAAGATCAACCAGCTGTTCTGGGGGCCACTTTTCTCTTTGGGGCAGTTTCAGATCCCTAAACACACTGAAATCTCTTGTCCTGAAGGCCAAAATTTTTATTCTGCTGTTCATCTTGCTTACTTCTCTTGGGGTCTTAAACTCCACTGTCTCATGGGCTCTGTAGCAAAGGCTGCCATCAACTGTCATATCTCTGACCTTATTTTTCTTATTTGTAAATAATAGTTACTTACTCAGATGTCATTGCACATATATATATGTACACCAACAAAGTATTCTTATGGGTAATATATAAACCACTAAGGAGCTTACACATCATTAATCATCAGTAACTCTCCAACAGCTGTATGAACAGTTTTATTTTATGGTCCTGCCTCCCTACCCACACTCCTAATTCATTTATGTTCAAGCAGTTATAAGCACTTTGCAGTATAGAATCTCCTGGTTTCTTTTGGGTCCTATTGTGCAATAAATAAAAGTATTTGGAAATTAGCTCAACAGTTAACTCAAATGCATTTAATTACTTAAGGTACTTGAGAATTATTTGATCTTACAGGCTAGGAAAAGCCAAAGTGTTCTGATCTATTCCTGACTCATTCTTTGAGTGGGAGGTCACCTAGATCACCTCCAGACACCCTCTCCAAGTAAAGATTATCAGATTCTGTTCTTGAGACTTTTTATTTTAAGGAATCCTGTTACCAGTTATGACCTTGTCATAAGTTAAGTCACAATTCATATCCATTCTGCGATGAAATGAGTCTTATAAAATATGGGATAACCTGTTAAAATGCTGTATAGAATATACAACTTTTAAAATCCTCATTTTCTGAAATTTTCAAATTGTTGAAATGATTAAATTGAAACTAGTTTCAATACTCAAGTTCCTAGCTGACTGTTAAATAAAAGTTAGGAAGAGAGCCATGTAGTACAGAATTAATATATTGTAAATGTAGTCTTGCGCAACACTC